TCAATACAAATCTATTAATCCAGCATGAAATGATGGACTCCAGAAGGCTGACCAATTAAATTTAGACTTATGAAAAGTCATAAATAGCTTGGTAGCTAGTGAACTACAATTTTTATTAATCTGAACAATGTTCCTGTAAGAAGTAAGTAGAATCTTTCCCATGAATGGCCCTTATGTAATTTATTTAACTTTGTGAACCTTGGCAAAATATTTTTAGATCTTTCTGTTCTAGGATTTGGCATTTCTTTCTTCTTTAATATAAAAGGAAGTGTGACTTTCTGAAATGATATTTTTAGGCTTCTGCTTGTTATTTTAAAGTCTTCTTCGATTTGGATTTACATATGTTGAGCAGCCTCTGCGCAAGGCTAGATCTGTTTTGAAGATGCAGTCGTGTAAATTTTGCACTGGAACAATTGCTTTGCACATGGAAATACAGCTATGCCCCTAAATTAGCACACATGGATTAGTTGCTACTGTGGGGGGGGGGGAAATCTTTTATATGAATAATTAGACAACGGAGCTAATCCCAATGGAATAATGTACATTTAAAAAATGAACTTTAATTTCTGTGTTTGCACATGCATGCAGTCATTCATGTACAACCACAACTGCCTTGTGTAACCATGTGCGCCTTGCCATTCTTGTGCAAAAGATCAGCACTGGCAGTTTCTAGTTATTATCTCTGCACTGCCTTTCAGACACTTGTCGTTTATAAGCAAAGATGGTTAGAGTCTTTAGAACACACCTTTGAATATTAACTCCTTTAGTACCTATTCAGCGATGGCAACTATGTTGCAGAAACAGTGATTGGTGTCATAATGAAGTAATTATTAAATTTTGCTTTTGTTTTAAGAGATGTGGGGGCCAAGGAGGAAGAGATAATTTGGAATGGGGAGGGAGAATCCTTTTTAGACCCTCCCTCTCTTTAAAATCCCTGGTCACTCCCCCTATTCCATTTAATAATAAAACTAAATCTATTTACAATTCTAGTACTCTTTAAAGTGCCCCCTCCCAAGCCTAGAATTATTGTGTCCATTTTCATTTAAACAAAATGCCTGAGATCTTTTGCCAGGCTTACCAAACTACGTCCACCCTGAACAATTATTACTTTTTCTTCTTTTTAGTTAACTGGGATGACACTATTGTTTACATTTATAGATGGGCAAGTTATCTCAAATATTTCCTATTTAATACCAAAAAAACCCCCACCCTTAACAATGTGTATATACATAGTTGGTGAGATGGAATAGTTTTTAGATTTTCTTCTACTATCTTTCTTTGGTAAGATTCTTGCTTGCATATAAAAGAATCAACAGCAATGACAAAATCCGAACAGCTTCAGGCAGGAATAATGATGAATAATACTGCTAATATACACCCCCCCCTTTCTTTCTTTAAAATTTTCACAGCTTTGACTTTGGACCATCTGTATGGGAGATGCATGTGTGTGCACGCACTACGGCACACAAATCTAATGCACAAAAAAATAATGAGACAAAACATTTTAATTGCACCTTTTGTGACAAGGTTACTAAAACAGCACTTTACCATAAAATTTCTACAGTGGGATTATAAAACTATCAGCACTCTGCTATAAGAAAAACAATTTGCTGAACATTAAAAGCTAACTTCAAAAATTCAAGGTCTCTATGGCCACTTTTAAAACAGAAACTGTTCAGGGGTAAGGACAGGAAGGGTACAAGTTATCTCCATAAAGAGACAATTGTAGGGAGGAGGAATACATGCTTGATCAATAAAGGTATGCCTTGTGGAATTTTGTCTGAGAAGACGTAAAAATTAAGTCCTTTCTTGTAGAGCACGTTGCGTTCCAGTCTCTTCCCAGTGGATTTGCTTTATATCTGGCCTTCTGGAGCTCTGCTTTTAACATGTTTTGTTTCTTTTACTTCCTAAAAATGTTTGTTGGTATCCACAATGTAGGTTACAAATCGTTCCCAACTATTTTCTTTAACAGCTATCCTTTGCATTTTTTAATATATCATGACTCCCTTGAATCAGGGCCTTCTATGTTTCTTCATTATATTAATCTAAGTTACACAGATCGTACACATTAAGTTTAGGAGACATTCGTCAACCACTTTTTATATAACAACAAGCATAGAACAATATTTAAATATGGCTGCAATTCAGTATAACCTTAGTCTACATATTCACATATTTCAAAGTCTGGTTCTGGAGAGGACTTTCCCATATTATAATTGTGCATCAATGTCAAGATATCATCAATAATTCATTCTATTTATTGTCAGCTTGCTTCTTTGATGTAAAAGAAAAATGTGTTCAACTAAGCACACGTTCTATAAATATAAAAAAATGATCACAGTAACAATTTTAAAAATAATATTTCTAATTATGAGCCTAGTAAAATACTCATATTTAAAACACACATAGTGGAAGAAAAAATAGAAAGCATAAAAAAGATCAATAGAAGGATTTCAAATAGCTTGAAAGCACAAGGCGTGTTGAATCCAAAGTACGGAAGAAAAGCAGAGTGATTGACACAAATCATACTCTTCATCCAATTTGCCCAGGTTTGCATTTTAAAATGTCTTTCTGTTGTTGCTGAATGCAACAGGTTTCTTTAAAGATTTCACTCTAATGAGCATCTTCTCCTTTGTATGGAGTAGGTAAGTATGTAAAAGAAAGGTAGGTTAAAAAAAATTAAAACTTCTAAAACCCTACAGAATTATGATTCATTCATTTTAAATAAAGCCCAAAGTATGTGTAGCTCATTGCAATTGTTAGTTTTTAAAAAATCTCATTATGCTAAAATTAATTAATAATTTGCAGCTAGATATGCCATTTAAAAAATAATAATAAATGTCTGCACTCCTGTTTGATCATTTTTATCCATTCTGGTTTACCTCGTGCCATTCTTTTTAATCCATATACTAATTGTAATCCCATTAAAGCAGATATAATTTTATTACCATTCATAGTTTGTCAAGCTAGCAATAAGGATAGCTGCTACTGAGTTTAGAGAAAAATAAAAACTGTCACACATTTTCCTCTTCTGATGTTTAAAGGAACTTGTAAACAAAGCTTAAGTGGCTGTGTGTGGTTTTGTAAATCTAAGATTAAATCCATACTTCCATAAATATATATTCCATAAACAGTCTGTACGCTCAAATGAAGGTACATACTATATATTCAGAGCTGGCCACAACATTTGAAAAAATCAACCATATGAGAAAACTCTTAAGGACAGAAACACATATAGTGTGTGGATTAAATAGAGAAGCTAGTTAAGTTACACTAGAAACGTTACACATAAAATGTTTCTAACGTCAAATTATTTACTTCAGATAAGTCTTTTAAAAAATCAAAAACAAATGCAGCAAGCCTAGGTCAGCTTTAGTGAAAACACAATGAATGGAAGACATTCTGAAGCATAGACAGAATCTTGTAAATTTCAAAACCTCTCATTATTCAGCATCTATTACTTTTATTACAGTTTGTCCATTCCCGCTTTGGGGTGTATGGAGGGGGGGAATGACTAGTTACTATTGTTTGGATTTTTGCATACTGATATATAAACCTTATTCTAAATCGTAAATATACCATTCTGCTTTCCAAATGCCTCCTTTTGCTTCCCAAAACCTTGCTTCCAAAAAAGATCTTAAACCAGGGATGGGCAACTTGAAATCCTGAAATGCTCTAGCATATGACTGTCCCATTTTATGCATGTTCTCACTAATGTTCTGGAGCCAACACCAGCTATTTTGTACATCCTCCTTGTCCCAAACAATTAATTGATTAAAAATGGATGCCATGGATGATCTCTGAAGAACCTGGCACATACCACCTCTCCCTGATTTTTCTTGCCAAACATTGTGTCTTCAGCAAGATACCACGAGAGCACTTGTTAAAACTAACACATGCACTGCAAACCCATTCTCACCCTGACACTTCAGGGCTTTATATAGAAACAGGATTTTTTAGTCTTATACCACTAGCTCCATTAATGCTCACCCTATACATACAGCTACCCCTAGTCTGAAAGAGCAAGGGGGGGAGGGTGCTCACCTTTCCCAAGCAAATAACAAGCAGGAGTGGGGGGTGAGAGAAAGTGCCTTGTTGATGCAAAAGAATTTCGTAAGGACGTTAATGCAAAAAAGAAAAAGAAAAAAGGGGGTTCACTCCGTTCTCTTTCAGCCTTCTATTAAGGGGCATGTGTTAGAGGGAGGAAAGTGGAATAGCCTTTATTTGAGCCTTCTCCGACTAAAAAAGAAAAACTCCATCAAGAGAGGGACATTAGTATTTTGCTCCTTGCCAAAATGAAATATTCAGATTTGCCAAAAATATGATGTCGTCTTCTTCTCACACATGCCCCAAAACAAAGCTACGTGTGTCCCGGGAATTCTGGGTCAGAAAGGGTCACCTCCGTTGCACTTCTCAACACCCCATTTCGCAAAGCCCCCTGAAAAGAGTGGGGAGGCACGGTTTCCTCCTTCCCCTTCTCTCTTACCCTCCCGAGCCCAGGAAATCTCTCCAGTAGGCAGGCGAGGATCCACTCACGAGGATCCGCTAATGCAGGCCTGGGGACGAATTCTCCCCCGCATGCTGAGACTCTCAGAAATTATCTGCTAATGCATTGTCCGAGAGCGAAGAAAAAATAAATAAAATTAAATAAAATTAAAATAAAATAAAATTGAAATAAAATGACTAAGCCGTTAAAATAAGGTAGCAAAGGGGGGCATTTGGAAAGCAGAAGTAAAACCGTTCCTGTTTTTATTCCTCCCTTCGCAACAACCAATGCAAAGATCGATCTGCTGCATTCATTCTCTCTCTCTCTCTCTCTCTCTCTCTCACACACACACACACACACACACACTATCCTTTTCTTCCTGGGGGGGGGAAGGCAGCTCAATCGGGTGCCCCTCCCTCGTCCCTCCGGAGTCGGGGCGCCCGAGCTTCCCCGCAGCTCTCCAAGGCCCCCTCAGATCCCCTCCGCTCCTTTCACCGCGGCGCTCCGCGCTGACCTGTGTGCGTAGCCATGGAGATGGGCGAGGGGAAGTATTTCCCGGGCTGGAAGTGTCCTCCGTGCTGCACCGAGTTGTGCCCGGCGGAAGCGAGGCGGCTGGAGCTGTTGCGATGGCCCCTCTCGGCCAGGAGGGGAGGCGGAGGCGCGAACTCCCGGCCATCCATACCGGGGCTGCACTCCCACAACCGGAGCCCCGGCAGGAAAGGGGCTGCGAGACTGGGCCTTGCAGCGGGCGAAGATTCGCCCCCTCCCCGGGAAAGGGAAATCTGCAGGCCGCAGACGCGGGGAAGGAAGGGCTCCCCTCAACACGAGGCTAATCGTATTCCTCCAAGAGGCCTCCGCTTCTCGTGGCACCGGCGATCTGGCCTCATTCTCTGCAAGGCAAAGGGAGAAGAGAAGATCAAGCGGGTGAGGAAGGCATCGGCGCTGGACAGATTGGATTAACCGCGGGCAACAGTACCTGAGGGCGCGAAGCAGCGACCCCGTCCTAGAAGCCCCGCTGATGCGTTCCCCCCCCCCCTAAAACTGAGGCCGTGGAAACGAAACCCCCTTCCGGACGGGCGCGCCGCCTTGTTTGCCGCCTGCCTCCCTTTGTCGAACGAAGCAACTGGTTCTTATGGGTTACATGGCGACAACCAGATTTAAAACAAATACCTCGTACTCTTTTCAAAAATCTACGTGGAAAATAGAAAATGCAACATGCTGCGCTTCCAGGCCTTGTACTTTTTATTACAACGGCAGGGAAGTGGGAAGATTTTCAGATAAAGCGAGGCCAGTAAGATGAAAACAGGAGCGGTGCCTCCAGTATAATGGGGGTGGGGTGGGGGGAGGTGGCTGGAGGAGAAAAAAGCTCTAAGTTTTCTTATTTGTTGTAGTTCTGTTCAACTATGGTATTTATTATTTTGAACTGCTCAATGTTCTCCTATGATTACTTTAATCATTTCCTTGCTAGACAAACTAAATCTTCAAATTGATAGTTTTAAAAATGTTATGTTAGGATTAGGGGAGTGTCTTTCAGTTGCCCCTATGTTAAGTGTGATTACATATGTACAGGTGGAAGGAATGGGGATTATCCTTGGTTTGCTGGCTTCCCAGTTTACAAACCAGTTGCCTTGATGCAATCCAAAAGAACGTGTTCCTTGCCTTGCGTAGATCCCAGATGAGGGAAAAAGAGCTCACTGGGCTTCAATTACTCAAGCTCAGAAATAAATATTTCACTGCGGACACTTGAGTGGCAAAGTCCTGCATTCCTCTTTCAAGGGCAGGAGTTTAAATTCTACAACTGTATTCTTAGACAAAACAGTTATGTAAGGTTCTTCCTGTACATTCATTCCATTTACACATAAGGGGTTTCTGGCTTAGACCCAATGTGTGTAACATTAGGCCAAGAGGAAGGAGGGGGAATAAAAAGATCTCACTACCCCCCCTTTTCCCCCCCTTCAGACTTGTGCTGCACTGAAAGATATCGCACTAGCTTCTGGAAATAAAATATGTGCATCTCCCATATAAAAAACCTTATTGAGCTATCAATGGAGATCTAATACTTCCACAGGGGGAAAGAGGGGTACCCAAATTATTTCTTCCTTTACAGTGAGGTTCATCCTATGTATCTGTTGTTATAGAGAACAATGTCTGAAGGATCCACAACCCATTGAACCCATGCTGAATTCAACTCCATACTGAACATGCTTACTGATTAACAATCTGGGAGAAAGGGAAAACACATTTGCTTACCTTAATGTGTCATGATTGGAACAATGAAACAATATTTTTTATTTACTGAACACTATTTTAAATGGTTAGATATAAAGCTTTTAATTCTTAACATTGCTTGACTACTTGGTGTTTGATTTAATCTATAACTGAAAACAAGGTATTAAATGACTACGTATTTGCACAGCGGATAAGATTACACATGCACACATACACATGTGTGTATGTGCACACACCTACATAAAATAGAAAAAAATATATAGAGTTTTCTATTGTAAGTAAATGGAACCACTACGCACAAAAACAGAACAGTTTATTACTGGAAATTTTAATCATCTGCATATTACCAATATTTTATATTTTGCAGTTAGGGTAATTATAAGAAAAAAGTATATTCTTATCACCTTCCACCCACCCTGCTTAACATTAAAAATCTTCCCAGAGAAGCAGCAGTAAAAAAATAATGGACTGGAGGGAGGGGGTCGTGGAAGAGTTGAAGCCTGGAAGACAAAAGCGAAATTAGCAACTTCAGCAAGTTTTGAATTCGATACATCAATATGAAGGGAACATGGTTACTTTACCTCCCCTCCCCCTTATATTTTTTTATATTTGCATATTTAAGGGGGGGGAACTGTATCAGACAGAAACATAGCAGCAGATTGGAAATCCTGATTATAGGTCCAGGGAAAGTTTTAGCATCAGCGTTCCAGGAACAGCACTTGCTACCACGTACCGTGCAAAGGATTTGTTCTAAGGTCGGGTCCATTTTGGCTATTGCTAGAGCCGAAACAGGAAAAGTCAAATCAACCTTTCTCCAAACCGGTAAACGGGCTGGTGTGCAGCGGGAAGGCCTCCGGATCCAGTCATCAAAACCAGGAAGGAGATCTGCCTTCGATCTTCCTTGGCTTCCCTTCGGCGCGGCCGAAACCAAAGACGATTCTTTACAAGCAGGAGGACGCGTCGCCGAAAAGAGCGAGGTACGTTACTTTAAAATCAATAGCCGAGCTCGGACTTCCAAAGGAACAAAAGGACGGTGTAAATTTGCACGATTCGGCTCCAGCGAGCTACGCCCCCTCCCTTGTTTTGTTTTAATTGGGGCAAGGAAGGAAACGGGGGGGGGGGTGTTTGAGAGAATAGAATAATCCAGCGGTATGTTCTCTGGTCAATTGAACTGAGTCGCCGAGGTTTTGCGCGGACTAGAAATACGTTCTACTCTCCAAAGAGATGGACGAAGAAAGAAACTGAAGATCCGGCAGAGTTCAAACGCTTCGGCGCACTGCTCTCGGGCCTTGTCGGAAAAAACAAAAAGGGTGAGGAAGCTTCTGCCGTGCTAAGTCTTTCTCTAGCCCATCGAAGATCTCTCGAGAGCGGCAGCCATCAAAAGGCTCTGCCGCTGCTACAACCCGAAGGCTTCCAGCAGGCGACAGCATGCTAAAAAACCTCAGAGATCTCTCCCAAATTGTGGGATTTTTCTCTCCCACCTAAACGCATTTGGAACAATTTCATTTTGCTTAGATATTCAATTGCTTGGTTCCCCCAGAATCGTTTTTTTTTTATTTTACAAAGTAATAATGATCATTTTTATTAATGAAAAGAAAGCGAGGCTGAAGTTGTTTCGATATATTGAGCTGAGCAATAAGGCAACCACCCAAAGCATTTGGGTCATTTTAAAATCAAACGATTATCGCAACCATTGCGCACAGGCAGAGAGACTGAGAGAAAAAGGAAGGCGAGAAACAAAAGCGTGTCACTGAATTATTCAGTTTCGAGAAACCTTTTCCGTCCGTGAAAAATCAAGCACGGTTCACCGTTTTAAACTGAACCCAAACAAACAAGACGGATTTTCTTCTTTTTTTAATTTTAAAAAAAATCCTTATGAGGCATCTTAACGGCATGTTTGTCTCCACGGCAAAATACCATACTGTACGGAAGATAAGTATACATGCGCACACCCTGGCTTGTAAATAAATAAAAATGCGTATTTTCTTTGTTTTCATTTTTCGTTTAATTTAGAATCCTGAGGAATTCAAGTATTTTCTGACGCAGATAATCTTGAACATGCAGCAGGAAGGAATCAAATTCACAAAGAACTTCTATTATGATTCATTTTAAAGAAAAATGGAGGCTACAAATTTATATGAATTCCTTTTGCCACAATGCCTATTTGCCACAATGCCCATTTGTTTTCCTTGCAAAGCAACCATTTACAGTTCCATTTTTAAAAAAGAGCGGACAAACTGATTAGAATTTCAGGTAAAAAATATGGGAAAAATCATAATGTTGTTAGCACTACACGGAGCAGTGCACAAAATTTCCAGAAAATAGAAACCATTTAAAAAAAACACACCAGTATGGATATATCTCATAAGTTTGCATTTCGTTAGAAACAATATACATTTCCTTTCCCAAAGGAAGGGTTATTTTTTTGTTTAAAAAAAAAAGGTTCAATTTTGTTGAGGAATGGATACAATTGTTACATTTTTCAATCGCCAGGTATTTGCATTGCTTTATTTTATATATATATATATATATATATATATATATATATATATATATATATATAAAAGAACTGACCATTGTGAAGGTATCCATATTAACAATAAATCATAATTTATCAACAAATCATGAACGTTCAAAATGCTAAATAAATTTTAGTTACTTACTGGAGGGAGGGGTGTTCCTTTGCACAGAGGGAACGCAATACAATTAAATCAGTGAGTGGGATTTTGTTGTATTCCTATTGGTATTTGCACTGTGCTGACTGTTGCACTGTAAATGCACTGCTCCTTGCAGAAAGGAAAAAAGACCCTGTCGCGAGCTTCAGCTTCTCCAGCCTCGCATCTCAGTCCTACAAGCAACTCTCCCTGCATACTAATAAGCTCGTGCCACTCACTCAGGGTGAGCACGCTCGCTGATTGGACGCCTTGTCCTCCACGGTAATAAGCTCGTGCCACTCTCTCTGCGTAAACAGGCTTCCCAATAGGTTGGCGTGGGGCCAGGGAACTGCCAATCAGAGAACAGCAGGACTACTACTCAATCCAATGGCGCCTAATTCAAGTCCCTACAGTTGCGCAGCTCCCCTCGCGCAGCTTCCCTTTGCTTAGCTGAATGGAAATGCGTAGCAATGCGAAGCGAGAGGGAGAAGGGGGGGGAGAGAGAAAGAGAAAAATAGAGAGAGAGCGAGAGAGAGAAAAGCTTTGCAGAATGGGAAGCTAGGGAGTCCCACCAGAAAGCTGCTTCAGCTCGTAGGCAGGCACTCACGCCAATCAGCTGGGTAGCGAGGGATACTTTTTGGTACTCCTTTTGCTTTGATAAATTGGACGATGCGCTACAACTGCAAAACTGGGAAATCACAGCACTGTACAGATCAGGACGTCAGAGACTGCGTTGCCTGCCCTCCGGCAGCTTTTAAGAGTTACTTGACAAACGAAATACCAAGAGATTTAGAATGATTTAGGTCCTAAGTATGCTCTTATAGTTCATTGCGTCTTCACCGCCTGTGGATTTGTCTTTAAACAATTCGAATAGGAGAATCACTTTGCCCGCATTTTGCAAACTCAGGAAAGTCCCTTTGCTAGGTTCTTGCTCACAAACACGTGCACAACCCTTTTGTGGTTTATCAAAACTGGAGATTTGTTTGTAATCCGGTTGTTCTTTCCTTTTCCTTTTTGTCTCCCACGCTTCACATTTCCATTAAGACTCCCTGCTCACCTCTATCCCCGCCGTTTGCACCAAGATATGCTGTCTCGGTAAATTGCCACTTTTCTTGTAAATAGGTCAGTCATATACACATTTCCTACCTATATGATACCATCACTCCCAAGGCCTATTTTAATGCAGAAACCACACTACATAAAGCCTTCAAACGACTTTGTACCGGCAATTGAGAGGTTAACCGCAGAGGCATTAGTTTCTCTCCCACCCCTTTCAGTCTTTCCTTCCCCACTTCCAGGAGACGCCTTGATTGGTTGGCAGTCTCCCAGCCCGCTGTCCATCACCCAGTGTAAACAAGGCGCTGATTGGCTGCTCGCCAGTCCGCACTGGGCTGCCTGAAAAAAGCAATTACTGGCCCCGCGGTTTGCAGGGGGCCCGGGGCTGATTTGATGAAAGGAGATAAGCTGGGGACTGTTTCCAGCGCGCGCACACACTCAATGCACTCCCCCCATTCCCCGAGGCAGAGCCCACCGTCCCTTGAGCCAAAAGAAGGTCAAAGAGTGGAGAGGATCAAAAGGAGTAAAGAAAAGGGGAAACGGACTGAGTCCCCATTAGCGATTTTGAAAGTAAAGCCATTCATTCAAGCAGGTTTGGTGCATCGGTCACCGGAGGGATGGGGGGAGGGGCGAACTGATCAGCGGGAGGATTCTCGGTGGTGCAGCCACGAAGGATGGGGAGAAAAGCTAGGAAATGTCTCGCTGTTAAATGGGACAAGGAAGGGAAGGCTGCAAGAGAATGCCGAGGAAGCCGCAAGCCGACCAAGCTGCCTTCTCAGTCTGGATGGAACACGACGCTACGGAAAAGTCGATTTCATATTCCCCGATATGTGTAACCTCGGTCCAGAGCTTCACAAATTTCAGACAGAGGAGCAAACTGGATCCATCTTGAGTGTGCAAAACTCTACGCCTCCGGGAGAACCTCCCGCTTTGGCACAGGCGGAATCTATAGCGAAGCTAACCGGGAGAAATGTCAGTTCCATTGATCGAACGAGGTTGAAGGACGTGTGTGTGTGTGTGTGTGTGTGTGTGTGCGCGCGCGCGCGCCCACACAATGCCATGGCAGCGGCTCGAAGGCTCAGAATTCTCTCCAGCCCCCCCCCCCCATACTCGTGATTACGATTATTTAAAAAAAAATTAAAAAGGAGCCTAATTGATTTAAAAATGCAGAATAAATCAAAATAACCTGTAAGAGATATTAGATTACAATGGAGCTATTCATTAACCGGAGGGGTGAATTAAATTAAAAAGCAGCGAGTGAATATGTGTGTGTATACTCTGTGCTTATGTCAATGCCTCAGTTAGAGGAGAGAAAACTTGCATGATGACGATGATGGGTTTACTGAAACCATGCACCCATTGAATATCCAGAGGGGAAAAAATTATTCCAATGTCCCAACCCACTATGTGCTGATAAAATACTCAGTTTGGATCAGCATCTTCGAAGTGATGGTGAGAGTTTTTGGTTATTAACACTATTGCTGCTCTTTATAACACATTGTTAATGGATCAATTATTGTAAGTAACTTAGATGCATATAAGCATCTACAGTTTGCAGTCTTGTCCACAAGCCAGACAGAGGGTTCAAACAAGATGAAACCCCAAACATGCTAGGCCCGGTTACTTTCCAGATATTTTAGATATAAAATTTACATGGAGACCGAGAAACATAGACTTTCTGTTAATAAATATATATTCCAAAAAAGAAATTACAAGCACATAAAAACTGAATTTTAAAAAAGTAGGCAGGGGAGTATATAATTCTGAAAGGAACCCTATTTGTGGCCAGAGGGAAAGATGAGGGAGGGAGTATTTCCTTGAAATGGGAGTTGAGGCTGTTGAATTGGTCTCATAAAAAGTGAAAGCCGAGAGAGGGAAGAACTGAAAGCAAAGGCACTTTTCAACTCATCCATTCTGTGGGGAACACAAGGCCCTATCAAAAGACCTACAGGTTCAAAGCAGAGATTTGAAAGAGAAAAAGGTCCTTCTGCAGGCTGAAATTAAAATGGGGAAAAAGACTACACTTGCAGCAGCAAATCTGACACACACACACGCATGCACGCACGGACATATATATGCATAATACATACAGGAGAGAACGATAAAGCTGTGTGTCTGTGTAGGCGTGCGGTGGCCTCCGAAAGACTTCAACCTGCAGACGATCTTGCTGTTTATCTAGGCTCACCGCCAGAACATCGGCTGGTAGGCGTGGGAAGGGGTCAGAAGGGATTCAGTTGGATCTGTCTGCAAGGCAGAATGGGCCTTACCCCCCCAAAAAAAGCTGTAATGCCTGGATTACATCCCCACATTGGGACAGGATCTAAAAAAAACTGTGAAGCAACTTTCGATTCATGCAGATTCTTCTGGGGGATAGAAGCAATGGTGAGACAGAACTTGTCTGCCTAAATGATCCTAGGTCCTAAATTCTCAAATTACAAACCCAAAAGAAGAACAGGGATCGGGAGTTTTCATCTGGTCCTGCTGACTTAAAATGTTCCTTTAATATGCACTGCATTTCCATCACTGGATTGTCTTTCTGCTCCCCCTTAAATTTCTCACTCGGCAGCGAGAAATTTCTCGCTCAGATGGGCAATGGCTTCCTAGTCAAACCAGTCTCTCACACTGACCTCACCGCCATTTCCCTGGACAGAGAGCCCTTCAGTTTCCTTACATTGGCCCCACTAGGACAAGCCAGTGTGATGTGTCTGCAAGGCAGAGTGGGCCTTGGTACGAGAAATCCTTGCTGGTTTCCAGGTTTGGAGTCTTAAAAAGACTTAAGGAAGACTTGCAGTTCCATGTCTTTCCCATGCAAAAGAAGAAATACCACCTCAGGGTACTCTGTCTTTTGCAATGGAAGAAAATTAGCTCTGTTCAGACATTATAGACACAAATTGCAACACGTGAACAAGGGTGACCCTCTTGATCATAAATATATTTCCCTGGGGTAAGTAAGGCTGGCTACTTTGGTCTGGATTTATTTATTTTTATTTATTTAATAGGGATTATTAAATTATTTATTTGTAATCTTGGAAAGCTACACAACAGCAAGATCCCCATCCTATTTACCAAGAAATAAATGCTGACTGGCCAGGAATCCCTTCCCAGCATAGCAAAACTGTAGTGCCAATGTCACTCCAGAAGAAGTCACTTGTTTTAGTTAGGTTTAGGACCACAATCGTAAGAAGTCAAAATTAAGTCTAAGGTGCTTTGAAATCTAGGTAACCTTCTTCCAGGCAGATGTAGCCATGTTTGTAAAAGTGGCAATTTCCCTGTGATGGTGAAACAACAAATCCTATCGCCTTCAGTGGGTTTTCTCCATATAAAGGCTGTAGGATCAAATACTGTTCAGGCACATTCACAAAAGCCAAACCTTTAGCTTTGAAAAGGATAGATTTCTGGGCCTAGTGCACAGAACTGCTCCTCTTGGTAAACTTTCAGCAGGACCACTGTTCCAGGAGAGGATTTCCTCCACTGTTTGAGGTGTGTGTTTATTATCATTTTGTTTGTTTGTTTGTTTCAAAGTGCAGAGGGAGACAGGTGAAAGTTGAGGTGCAGGAACAAGGGTAGTTCCAGATTTATTTTGTTGTAGGTTAGGGCCAGGAGAGAAATGGTTTAGGGGGTGTTTGTTCTTTCAGGTGGTGTTTGGTTGTGAGTGCACCAGGTCTCTGCAAAAGCAGCAGTTGCCCTGCAGTGGCAAATGGATGGAAGGGTAATTAATGCAAAGTGACTGATTGCTCTTGAAGAAGGCTGGTCCAGCAAAGGGGATTGTCCCTGGTCACTGAAGCGTCCAGTGATTGACAGTCTCTTTTCCATCTCTCAGCCTAGGGCGAAGGACCTCAGTGCTGCATATTATCACTGGTTTAAGCCCAGAATGGCAAAATCTCAAGACTGTTTGAAAGCTTGCTTTTATTTTGATTTTAAGATGACTATATTCAGTCTAATTATTATTGGACTAGGGAATTAAGTATTATTTTGTTTGAAAATTAAAAACAAATGGCAAGGTCCCAAATTAAGAAATAGGAGTAGGGGAGAGAAAAAGAGAGAAACAAAGCATAGCCAAGTAAGGCAGAGGTGGACCTTGGGGCAGATGAACGCAGCTGAAGATAAAGGAAATGGGGGGAACTGGCCTTGGGTTGGTTTAATGTATAAATAAATTAGCTTAACCCTTTTAAATTTTGGATTAAAAAATATC